GACACATTCCCGTAAATCTATTCAAGATATTATTCAGCTATAAACAGGAGTGTAAAATGCATCTCTCTTTACAGAAAATGCAGTAAGTTCGAGACTTACTGATCGAATTGCATGGGGGTATTGACCAGGACCAGGTGTCTCCAGCTTTGCTCAGTGCCATGTGACCAACCTTAGGATTTACTTCCTGGCGCTCCATGGGAGACATCCCAACAAGCACCCCTGTTTAGCACGCCATAGTAGGTTTGGGTAAAGGCCAGAGTGCAGGGTCAGGGGATGTAATAAGGTTGGACATGAATAGAAAGGGATCAAACAGAATGGAAGATGAAGATGGACGCAGATACAATGGTGAGGTATTGACGGGCAGACCCTTCGGACCTCAACTCAACCCCCGGGCGCAGGAATGAAAAATGCAGGCTCCCTCAAACGGAGCCGCTTCACACACAAGGAACGAAAATCCCTGCACTCATTCATAGATGAGAAAACGCACCGAAAAAAAAAAAAAAAAAGAAACAGCGCAATCTTCATTCCCAACTGTGCTTTCGTAGTGAAATCAATGAGGAACAAAGGAATCAGAAGTGGATTTCTATGTGAATTGCCTGGAGGTTAAGTGAGGAAAAGAAAGCATGTGGAAGGGAACTTTGCAGAAGTTAGAGTAGAGCAGAGAGGAATGAAGGCTCATATTCTGAGAAAGCGATACTCCGTACTGTGGAGCCGTCTTGCTAAGAAAAGAGCGGAGCACGAGCTTCTTCTTCAAAGAGAATATGCATGGTGTGGTGAGTACTGCTCTGGTAACAATATGATTGTAAAATCTTTATCTCCACAGGCTTCGTGCATGACTCACCTTGACCTGATGGGGGGAGTTGTGTCTGCTCTTGTACCTGTAATAATTTCTCTCAGAATGAAACCGCCCCATCATTCTCTTTGCTACAGCAATCCATAACTCAACTCTCGACATTTGTTATTCTCTCTTTCTACTTTTCTGCTCTTCTGTCTCGTTTCGTTTCACTCTCGTGACTTTTTCTACCTTAATGCCCTTAACTTTTTCCACTTTTCTTTAGAGATTTCCATACTTTTTCACCCTACCTCTCCACTTTTGTCTCTGAACCTCCTCTGGGAGCGACAAGTCTCGAGACGTTTTTCAATTCTGCTCTCCAGATCACTTCTTTTGTTTTTCCTCTCATCTCTTGGTCTCATTTCTTGTGGTTTACTCCAAATTCTAAAAGAAAAACCTCTAAACTTAAAATCAACTATTTATATTATGTTTACAATTGCACAATGAAAGACCAAATTAAATGTAATTTGATTTTACTATGAAATTGCACTTAATATATTCATACATTGTGAGACTTAATAAATATACAATAAAGGAAAATCAAGCTTTTCGATTATTATTTGCAGCACTATGATGTCAGAGTAGCTAAATATTGTTTCAGGACAAAAATCCCGTTCCATAAGAAGTTTTTATTTGAAACCTGCAACTTTTAAAACATTTATTTTTTTACCAATGTCAGCCTAAAAACTGAACCTGACTGAAAGTTACAGGTAGGCTTTAAAGTTCAAAGACTCAATGCGTTGTCACGCCACCTTTACATGGAAAAGATTTTGCAAAGATGGCCGATAATCTCAACCTGGCTGTAGAGAGATGCAGCACTGACATAACCCTGAAATCGATTGACTGGGTTTCGATTTTGCAACATTATAATGTTGGATCACTGAGTATACGCTGAAATGAAGATGCTAATCACAACCCTGATGCTAATTACAGGACAGGACAGAGCAAACGATCTGCTGAGGACACAGGCGTCTTTTGGAGTGCAGAGGACGCTCCTGCAGGCGTTTTTCTACAATGTGGTGACATCCGCCACCTTCTATGGTGCATTATGTTGGAGCAACAGCTTCTCCACAACTGAGAGGAAGCTGTAAGACAAGCTAGTGATGAAGGCCAGCTACATCCTTGGATGCCCCTCAACCAAGCACCATAAGATCATTCCTCCTTCCTCCTGGCAAACTGTTAAGACTTTATAACAATCCCTACTCTCAAAAATAAGTGTTTACAACTTTGCTGTTATTTGAAGTTTTTCCTAATTTCAAATAACCTCCTTGCTATTTTTCCACATCCCAGCTGATGTTATAGCATTTCCAATTTCTTGTAAAATGTCTGATGATGCTTTTTCCAGCACAACTATTCAGAATTAGTACATTTCTTTAAATTACCCCACCGAACTTCCATTCCAATGAAGAAAAAGATAGTACTTACGGTACAGTTTCTTCTTACTCCTTCTATTTTTACCTCAGCTAAATATGCATGTTGCATTTAAATTTAATAGTCAAGCATCACTTCCTTTCTTATTCCAGATTGTCACGTTAAAAGCCCTCACCTTCATATCAAAAACCCAAATAGCGTAAATTCCATCAAAGATCCTAATTTCCAATATTACATTTTAGTTTGTGAGTAAAGTAAAACTTTTTAAGTTTCATTTCAATGTGATTTGATTTTTAAACATGGGTCAGCTAACACGCTTGTCTCCGTCCATTTTTTTTTTAAAGTAGGAGAAAAGGTGTTGCACTGGCTGCTTTGCTCGGCTACTGATGTTTCGCACCACAATTTTCACCATGAAGCACCTGTGAACTTATGCCCTGCAAGCTGAGCTCAAACTTCTTCCTCGCTCGTTCTCCACCTCTATGCCTGAGGCATTGTGGAGAAAGTGCAGTCAGCGATGCGTTGAGATGCAGCGCAAACCATCACAAACTCATGGGAGTTAGGAGATGAAGAGAGAAAAATGTGGGCAGGTCCTAAGTCCACAATCTGCCTCTGAATTTGGGCTCATCTGTGAGTAGTGAGGGCACAGAGAAGCTGTTAAACAGCAAGGTCGGACTGACTGTTGTCTGCATCCAACATTATTCTGCCTCTTACTCTTCCCCCCTTTGTTCGCTCTGCTGTGGGGTCTTCAGCTCCGCTTGTCTCTAACTCAGTGTGGTTCAGAAAAAAGCCCTGCAGCGTTTTGCTCCTGACTAATCAAACTAGTCAGTGTCACCGTGCAGCCTTATCTAAAACACATGGCCATGTCAGTTTCCTTCATTCGAAAGCTTTTCAATGTTCAGCAGGTTCTACAATTTAAACAAATGTCAACACTGAGTTTCAGGAACTCTGAGACGGCACAGAAAAAAAATCTAAAACTAATACTTCATATATAACAAGTAAAGAAATCTGTAACATTACTGTAGATGAAAAATGTAAATAAAAATACTATCGTGTAGGAACATACAAGGCTGTCAAGTACAGTGTCATATGAAAGTGTGCATACTCCTCAAAATCTACAAATATTGTTTTATTGGCATTTCTGCGTTAGAACAAACAAAAAAAAGCATATATCCCCCTTTCATCTGATGATCCAAAATAAAATCCAGTGGCTTCATGAGCCATTCAATAAATGGAGTCAACTCAGTATAAATCCAGCTGTTCTGTGAAGGCTGCAAAGTGAACAAACAGCATTAAGAAGACCAAAGAACACAGCAAACAGATCAGGGAAGAAGTAGAGGAGATATTTTTTTAAAAAAGTAGATGTTTGGGTTATACAATAATATCCCAGGCTTTGAACATTTCTGAGAAAATCATCAATCCTTCGTCCAACAAAATGACAGAAAGGGTGAGGAGACAATAACAACAGAAGCAGCCAAGTAGATTATGGTAACTCTGGGGGAGCTGCAGGACGACGGTTATTCATGCACTCAGAAAATCTGGCATTTATGGAGGAAAGACATGAAGAAAGTCATTGTTGGAAGAAATCCATCAGCAGCTCTGTTTGCAGTTTTCCACAAGCCATACAGGGAACAGCCAACAGGTGGAAGTTGCTTTGGCCAGATGAGATTGAAATTGCATTGTTTTTGGCCTACGAGCAAAGCGCTACATGTGGTGGTAAACTAGCACTTCACTTCAGCTCAGTTCTTTATTGTCCCACATGGGAAAATTTGGTTCACAGCAGCAGTCAAAGACAGTCGAGGCATAAACCACACACGTCAACACAAATACCACATTAAATAACAAGGAATAAAACTGTGAAATGCTCCAAAATGTTCTAATATCTGCCAAGCTTAGTCAAAATTAATTAGAAGCTTTAAAAGCTCTTGGGACAAAAGAATATTTCAGCCAAGAGTATCCTATAGATGGCAACCTGCACCTTTGACTTGAAGGGAAGAGAATACATTTCTCTAAAAGAGGATGGACTCTGCTGGCTGCAACGCTTGCAGACTTTTTCACAATTTCTCTGATATCAGACAAAGAGCACTGCCAATTATTTTGTTCTTATCTTTAAAGAATAAGCTGCTAAAATAAGCAATACACAAAATAAGTAATCACTAATCACCTTTTTATCAATGCCAAGAATATGTTACCATCTTAGAAAATACTGCCTGTGCAGACTTTTATTGCAAATCACTGCAGAGTATTGTTCAAACTTGAGAAAACTGTTAAAATTTGTTTCCAGGTACCTGAAACTGGCCAAAATTTCCACTGGAAATTCCTTGAATATTATTGGTACAACAGGATGGGTTTTCTCTTCATGTCATTTGTTTTAATAATATTAAATTTGAGGCAACGCTCAGCACACGACTTCAAAAAGTAGTAAAGAACAGTTCCATATTGGATCTCTACATCCTTCAGCAGACTGACTACTACAGTGTCATCTGCAAACTTCATGAGGCGTTTGTTTTTAAAAACACTCTTGCAGTCATTTATGTATAAAACATACAACAAATTCAACAAAAAAATATTCATGCACTACTTTATGTTGGTTTAAACAAATAAAATCCCAATAAAATTTATTGAAGTTAGTCACAATAATGTAAGAAAGTTCAGATTTTCTTATTGCAGTGTATATTCCAAGTATGCAGGGTTTAAACCGGCCTGTCTGTTGATGTGCATGTTTGAATGTGTGTCTTCCTCTGTCACTCCCTCCTCCGACTGGAAGGTGACAGAGTGTGCACATATTCCAACAGCTTACCTCGTAGAGGAGGCATCCTAGCGACCAGATGTCAGATTTGAAGTTGTAGCCGTTTTCATGTATCCTCTCTGGTGACATGTAGTAAGGGGTACCCACTGGAACACAAAGGCAGTGAGAGGGAGGAGGGATGGAGCGAAGGAGAGACGAAGACAAATAGAAAGAAATAGGCAGAGGGATAAAAAAAAAAAAGATAGTGTTAATACGTTGCAGTACACAAGAAAAAAAAACAGATTTTAGTCTATCTTATATAAAAACATTTGCCTTTACAATTTATCACTTTTGCTCCATTGCATACCTCGGTGGCATTACACAGACCCAAACCAAACATAAAGCCATATATGCACACATATGTGTATGTAAATACACATATACAGAAATTTTACCCACACACAAAAAGCACAAATAAATCAGTTCCCATTAGTGAGACTCCATAATGATCTGAAACAGTAGTCAAAGCTGGCCCATTTCCAGTTCTGGTTTTGAAACTCAAGAATCCCCAACTGCCAAGGCGGATGGCAAAGCTCCAGGAAATCAGACCATCACCCAACTGGACCCAAAGAAGAGGCACAGCTCCGCTTCACATCCATGACGCACTGCAGGAGGCTTTGGAAATTTGCTGTTTTCTTAGCAGACTTTGACTGGCTGCTTTTATCATCTGCTTTCCGTTTACTGTGAATTCCCACGTAAAAGTCTATCAAGCAAATCCAGCGGGGGCATTTTTATTCATCACATATGGTTAGAAGATGGAAACTTCACCAAGTTCTTGACGTCTTTTACATCCACTCCAACAGCAGCATGAAGGGTGGCTCACTAAAATATAAACGTAATCTGTAGGACTCACATAGTCAACGTAACCGATGACGACTATTATAAGCAAAATGTCTACATCAATGTTTTTACTCAACACATCATGCTCATGCACTTATCTTTTATTTAAGCTTTTTAAGAAAAGTTACAGACTCCTGTCTGCAGACTGCATGCGTGTGTGTCTGCAGGCAATCATATTAAACTGTATTTGAGATGCAATTTCAAAACAAACATGGCTGAAAAAGCATCCGATTCCAGATTCCATGTCAAATGAGCTGTGCTACTGTAACATTCTTTTTCTCAAAAGTGAAAGTGGTCTTCAAGTCTGGAGATGATAAACTGGGAACATTTAGAATTTCTATAATTTTTGTTATGGATTATAGTAAAACAGCCACTGTGCAGCAGGAGCATCCGAAGAGTCAAAACAATCCTGACAATAAATGCAGTGTATCTATATTCTTATGCTGTTGAACACAAATTATTAAGTTATTTCTCTTCCATGTTTTCCACTTGATGAAGCATTCAGGCCAGGGACGGCCAAAGTGCGGTCTGTGGGCCACTTAAGCCCTTGGAATGATTTTGTGCAGCTCCTGACCTCAGACTGAAAAGTAGCACAACTGAGCCTAAAACCACAGAGAGTTGATATAGATGGAAAGATTTTGTTTTTATTTGGGGTCAGATTTAATATCTGTGCAAAATGGAAAATGTTACATTGACACAATGTTTTTGTCTTAATTAGCTACACATTTTGCTTTTATCAAGGCAAAGTTTGGCACAGAGTGACCCATATCCTTATCTTGTTGCTCAGAATAGAAATACAAACCTAGATAAAAAAAAACAGTCAACCCAACTCAAACAAGGCATCTTTCTTTTAAAAAAACAAAAGTGTACAAACCATTTTATGTTTCAAATTTACAAAGATTCACAGATCAGCATGAATGCAAGACAGGTGATGGAATAAATAAATAGGATGAACAATTAACCAGCTGGTCTCAGCTTGATAAAATCATATAAATCTATAAAACAAACAGTAAAAATGCATTATTTTCTAATACTCACTTTACCTGGTGTTTACTGCATATAAATATTAGGACATGATACAAAACATAGTGACGAAAATGTGGCATCAGGAATAAATGTTGCTTTTCTGTCTTTATTTAAAGCAATGACATGTTTTTGATTGAAAGATGCTCAGAATCCAGAAATACATTTTTGTACATTTTGTCTTACTGGTTATATCTGGACTTAGGTAAATGTGCATTAGCTGTTGAGTTTACAGCTGAAGAGAGCTGGTGTGTGTGAGCATCCCTCGTGTTGAAGCAACTCAACAGATAAGTCAGGTTGGATAAAAATATTACAAGAAAAATGTTTAAAAACGGGACTGAAATTTGTGTACGCACAGAAACTCTCCAAGCCATTCAGCGCATTTAACGGTCTAACGGAGGTCAAATTATAAACTGTAATTAATAAAACTTAAAGGGAGAGGCATTAGACTCGACGTCTACTGACCTCAAAAGCTAGCACTTTTAAATTTGGTGAAGACCTAATTGGGTGGAGAAAATCAGCTTTAATCTTAGATGAGTGACTCTGAATAGAAAAAAGCAATATATGTCATTCTGAAAATAATCAGTGTCCACAGCAGCACATAGAGGAAGACAGGGAGAAAGAGGAAGAATACACTTTAATTGGTTATCAGGTTTTCATTGTAGTTTAGGTACATTGTTGGCTATGGCTGTGTGTAAAGTGTGTGTGTAAAGCATGTGTGGGTGTGTGTGTGTGTGTATTAACACCCATGTTTGTGTGAGAGCGGTGTGAGGCCTCCCGGTGCGGTCTGAACAGGCTCCCCTAACATCCATTATTAGTTGATTAAAAGAATCAGCCTCCCTTATGCTGATAGTTGCATAAAAAGGGCTGCAGCGTCGGGCTCTGGCTCCTTTAGTGAGCCGAATTAAGGACACATTATTTATTCATGCAAATAAATTGAAAGTCATGTAGGGATTGATTTCCATTATAGTGAATAGCAATGACAACACTGTTTTCGCTGCATAACGGCTTAAGTGTTGTTGAATGGGAGGTGAGATGCCATCGAGTATAAAGAACGCAGCACTTCTGAACCCCTGCTGAGCGTACAGTGAAACGAACAAAAACTTGTCTCATTTGAAATGCACTCATTGATTTGATGCCATTTCCTTCTAAACTTTAGAACCTAAAGCTCCAACAAGACTATTTCAATGTTTCAGACGGAGTTTCCATTAATAAACCTGCTTTTATCTGCGCTCCATTACAGCTTTCACTTCGCAGAATTTTGAATCACAGTCGAAGGCGATGAATTAATTTTCATTCAGACTTCTCTGTTTGAATCCAGGCAGCAGCACACAGTCAGACTGAAACGGAGAAAAAATTTTGAGATGTTTTCTGCTGCAGCTCTTTTGTTGTTGTTGTTTATTCTTTCTACACATCCATCACCCTAATTCAACTCTCTACCAACCTCTTCTTTCTTGATTGCATGCCTTTAAACCTTCCAACAACACATACTTTAAAAATAAAAGATGTACTCAGGGTAAATTAGAGTTATAAAAAAGAAGTACACATAATATAAATTCCATATATAACACACTATTTCCAAAAGAGAACATTACACCAACAGTTAATGTTGGTGTAATCCGACCATCAGATTGTGAATTTAACAGAATGATCCTTAGCAGACCAACAACTCCACCACTAAATGCCTAAAATAACCAAGTGGCCTAGTTAAAGTCAGGACTTCAATCTGACTGAAATGCTGTGGTATGACCTTAACCAGGGAGTTTAGCTTGAAAACCCTCTAATGTGGCTAAAATAACAAGTCTATAAAAACAAAAGTGACCAAATCTCTTTCACATTGATGTAAAAGACTAATCACCACTTATCACAAAGCTTGAGGTCAGTTCTTGCAGCAACCGGTTTGGTTTACAGGATTTTTCAGAGAGTTTGGTTGGCCTGGATAGATCTCTTCCCCAACTTATTAAAATGATTTATAAATCACATTTTGTACTTTTTCGGGTTATCAAACCTTCCAACATCATATTCTTGTTTGAAGGAAAACTGTTGCTTTCCCATCAAATATTCTGCTTCATACTTGTCCAGGAAGCTTCTGTTTTCCACATTTCATTTGGCCATTTTTGGGAGAAGGGGTCCAATCTGACTGGAGTAGCATGAGCAGCAGACGATGTGGGTTCTGACTGACACGACAATGCACTAAGATTTATATTAGCGCTTTGTTGTAGCATTGGCTGGAAACCATTGGTGAAGGTATGTGTATATTGCAAAGTCGGAGAAAATGTATTAATAAAAAAGCACCTTGGAATAGATGTCACCTACAAATACAGTCAGATGAAGAATATGTCAGTAAAACAATCACCATGTTTTTTCATTAGAGGACATGGGTGTGCTTTAGTACATTTTTGTTTGCTATCATTTAAAGCACTCCACACCAAATGAATGCAAAATGACACATATGCTTGTTTTTTCATTAGAATGGCTTTTCCAGTGATATGGTAGCGTTGTAGAGGGTAGCTGTCGATAGATTACTAGTCAAGAATTTTGCAATGTGTTGTGCATTTATTCTTAAAAGATAACATTTCTATCTTTTAAGAAAAGATTAAAAAAAAGATTTTTTACTTCTCTTTTATGAACAGTAAAAAATTAGCAGTAGCAAAGTGCTAATAATACACTAAGATTATAAGAAACAGTTAAATTCCCCACAAGGAGTCTTTAGACATTAAATTAATTATCCTATGTTCAAAGTGAGGTACACTGAGTATTTAATATATTTATTTTGTACTTTCACATTGTAAGAAGATACTCAACTTTAACCCACCCTTTATTTCATGTTAGGTTAAGGCCTTATGAATTTAAAGACACAAAATTTTAACAATTTTTTATCAACAATGACAATGTTTGACAGTGAATCATTGAAGGTATTTAACAAACTGTGATTTAATCTCCCCTTAAAACCCTCAGTTCAAACTAAACTGAGGGTGTATCAGCACAAGTCCATATCTGTACAGAAGACAAAAAGGGTATCTTCTCTGTCTCTCTCAGTGTGTGCAGTGCTTTAGACAGGGGAAAAAGAAGTGTACATGTGTGTTGGTGTGTGTACTGAGAAGCAGCTGAGTTGAAAGCCTTGGAGCTGACAGGCTGTAAGCCTGGACCTCCATCTCAGCTCCACCACCCAACTCCTCTGTTCAGCTGGGTGGCTGGGCTCATTACAAACCCACGCAGTGACATGCATACACACTGCGCTTCTGTGGCTATCTCTCTGAGGTCATTTAATGACATAATGCAATCCCCGGCTCCTTTCCCTTCAACTTCAGCAGATGACTTCAACCTTCATCCTGGCATTTCTTCCTCCCGTCGCACTAAAGCCAGGGCTTCATTTGCAAACAGCCACCTTATGTTTTTCACAGGAAGAGGAAGAGACAGAACGTCCTCACGTTTTAAAAATGGGCACACTGGAATGATCAAAAACTAAAATCTGGTTCCCACAAAAGCAGTGAGACAGAGATATAAATACCTTTCTCTCACCACTCCACCCCACAGTTTTTCTACCCTTTCTTCCTCCTGTGTTTCCTGCCATTCTCTCATTTTACTCTGTTCTTGCCAACTTTTTTTCTCCTCTTTTTTTGTCACTTTGTCACACTCCTTTCTTCTACCTGAGACACTGTACATTTTTTTTCACTTTCTCTCTGTCACCCCTTCCTCTGTTTCTTACGCTCATTTAATTTTTTTTTGTACCATATTGCCTCACTCCCTTTCTTCCTCGCTTTGCTCTCTCTTTTCACTCGCTTCCATTCTCCCAATTCTAGTTTTCTCACACCTTCTCCCTCTCTCTCTCTCCTTCACCTACGCCGTCATCTTTCCCTGACTAAAAGTCAAAGCACCAGAGGGAGGGACAGCGGGAAGGAGAAGTGACAACAAGCAAGGCACAGAAACAGCAGCAGGAGAGAAGGTGAGGTGACAGAGGGAGACAGAGAAGATCTGCTGTTTGAAACACACAGTGAGAAATGTCAAGGGGAAAGCCAGACGGAGGAGGAGGTGGGGGATGAAGCGCCCTGAGTCTCTTGTGTCGATAGGTCATGATAACCTACAGACATTATCAGCTTTTTCCGGTCCAAGAACGTCCACAGATATCTGGATTTGGTAAATACATTTACACATAAATTGAATGTTTTTTTTCTTTCTTTTTTGCGTATCAATCTAAAACAGAGAGACAGTGGAAATCAGCAGGAAAAACAGACAAGTTCCTCCTGATGCTTTAAACATTGTCTGTGGAAAACATGTAAATTAACCCAACAGTATCAAAGCTGTTGTTACTGAGGGGGAAAAAGGTGACGGTTAGTTGATTTTTAAGTGGTTTAAGTTTTAAAAAGCAATGCTTTTTATGATTCTATACAAAACAAAAACATAAGCATTAACATTTACCATGTGAGTGCAAAAACCTGCCCTATATAAAAAAAAAAAAATCAAAAATATCAATCTCCACTGATTCAGACTTACTGATTACTTTGACTACACTTCAAGTGGGGCTGCCTGTCCTCGATCAGCCTAAAGAGGGTGCTGTGGACTCAGCTTTTAATGAGCAATCACACACACGCACACACATTTTCAATCTTCTCTTCTGGCACTGCAGGATGTTTGGTTGATAGAGCTTCTGTTTTAGCTGGTCATGTGACTAACACATTCTCAAAGTCTGAGCTGCTGTAGCACTGGGGGCTGAGAATAGCACACAGTTTGAGGTAATAACAGTTCGACACGGGAGGAGACACGGTGTGAATGGCATCCCAGTTGTCTGTGGAATTTGTTTTACTGAGTTTTCCAGTGTATGAAGTTGCAGAAATGTCCAGAGGGATGCTGGGTAACAGCACAGCTGATAGAACTGCAAGTGTCGACACTGATATCTATCAGATTTTACATTGTTTTCTGACATTTTAATACTGTATGAAGTCTGGAAGATTGGAAATTATATGTGAATCTCAATATCCATCTGCTTTTTGAGGTGTGTGTATGATGAGCCGAAAAAGTGTTCATATACAAAACGTCAGCAAGTATCTGTTCCACAACAAAATTTAAAATGTGAGTGTTTCAGGTTGGGAATAGTAGTCCTAATATCCTTCTACTTTTTCTTTGTCTCTTCGATATTTCTCCAATTGTAGAAAATACTTTATACCTTTAATCATGGTCCAGATTCTGCAGGACCATGATTAAAGTGCATTTTACAGAATATTTCTTACATCTTGTAGTTAATGCAAATATATTCTCATCTTTTATTACCATCTAGACAGATTGTCATGAGGCAGTCCCATTTTTCACACTGGAATTTGCTTGCAGTGATGTTTGAAAACGTCCGTATTTTATCACACAACTTTCGTATTCTGAGGGAAGCATTTTTAAGTTTAAACTGTAAAAACCAATATGTTCAAATATGTGGCAACGACAGCTACTTTTTGCAATGCAATGCTCTTCTGGGAGCTTTGGGTTTTAACATCCATCAGACATTTTTGTTCTAACTAAACACTGCAGCAGAACCAGTACATCATGTCATGGTAAAATAACTTTCTGACAGCACAGATGAAAAAAAAAAAAAAAAAAAAAAAAAAAAAAAAAAAAAAACAACAAAAAACATCCTGAGTATGAGCTTGAGAAACACGACAGAGTTCAAGGTGTTGAATTGGGTCAACCTCTGACTTCCCAGATTTCTACAGGACATCTCTGAGACAGACAAGAACAAGTCCAATCCATTGAAATCACATTCTGCAACAGTTGGCACCACAAGGCTATAAAAACATACATGTCAACACCATGTCCCATTTAAGATCATGCTGTCCTACAAATATCAAAAGAATTTTAATGATGGATGGAGTTTCTTTCTGCAAAAGCAAAACATTTGCTTCCTTCCAGATGTGAAAATCTGGTTAATACAGGCGGAGATAAACAATTTACGACATGTTACTCCATGTTCTTATTTGGTAAAGAAAACCAAGTCTTAAGGCTTGAACACTGTGTAAAAAGTCAAGTACACACCATAAATCTAGAGGTTGTGGAACTAATTTAGCAGCTTCAAATTTAAGAGTCTTTTGTTTGATCAGTTCAGTTTTTCACCTTGCCTAAGCATCAATGGCTTGTATTGCCATTAGCAATTAGAAAAACATCAATAGTCTGCTGGAGATGGACTCCAGCAACCCTGCAAGGATAAATGTGTGAACAATAGATGGATGTTTGATGGATACTGCAAATCCCACTGGTTTTTCACCTTGGAACTAGAATGAGTTCAACTGAGTTGTAATGTTGTTCTCAGATTTGGCTTTTGAATCCAAGATAAAGCGAATATAACTGGGTTCGGCCCTGGACTTTAATAGAGCAATACAACACTCAACGCAAAAAGAGTACGAGCTCCAACAGTAAGACAGAGATCTCAGGACATCAACTACAACTTCTGCATTCTTTGTCTTAGATATTCCTTTTTTACCTGGGCAAAGGACTGTCACCTCTTGATAAAACACACTGACTCATGAAGGTGATTTTGGTTGAGTTTAGATGATCTTAAATCCAAATCCAGAGTATCAATCTACCAGAAAATTCAAGAGCAATTTCTGCTTCCTTCTGCTGTCAAGAGCTTTATGAAGATGCTGATTTTATTTTGGAGTTGTAGCTGGAACCGCTCGACAGCCAGAACTAATTCAGTGACTGTCCTTCACTCACCAAAACCAGTTTTATTAGTATTATGCAAAATTGACATTTTTGAAGAAATAACATTTGGTGTTTAATCCACAATCAGCAAAATGAACAAAAACAATCTAAGAAATATATTTCCATGCTTTCAGCAGTTCTATTTCTTCATAAATGTTTGATATGTTTAATTAAGATAAAAACATAGTACACAGAGCAAAAACAAACCTAGACCAAAATTAAATAGCCAACAAAATCTGTTAATTGTAACCAGTTCTGAGTCCCAGATTAAAAGCGAAATATGAGGAGAAAATGGTAAAACGGGATTCTGCCCACTTTTTCACTGTGTCCGCACCCTAATTTATTTGGGGATTTTGTACAGCAACTTTCACTCCCTGGAAGGAAAAATAGGGTGTCACCTGATGTTATTTCCTACCAGTGACTAACCGGTCCATCAATATGAACAATAGCCATGATTGTAGAGCAGGCTAGCTTGTTTTATTGCACCCGGTTTAAGTAAGACCTGTGTGACTCCACCCTCAGTCCTCAACGGTGTCAGGATCAAAGGTCAAGCCAACAGGAAGCAGTTAAGTGGCCTTTGGCAGAGCAGGACTAAGCGCTAAGAAGGCTCGACGACTACATGACACCAGACTCACCATGCCTAATGAAACACTGGTGGATTAGGAGCTCAGCATGTATATTTATGTGCAGACTGTTGTGACTTACCAAGAGAGTGAGCAGCAGTTGTTTTGGAGCTGAAAAATCTTCCCAGTCCCAAGTCTCCCAGTTTAACCACACCAGTAGCTGTGATGAACACATTGGCTGGCTTGATATCTGAGAAAAGAAAATCACAAACAAAATGAATTCAGAAAAATCACCGAATTGAATTTGGCAATGTTTTTTTTTTGTTTTGTCTTTTCTCTGCAGGCACCTGAATAAGAGACATTAAAATATCATTTCAGTTAATGTGGGCGTTAGCAAGCTGTTTTCTGAAGTAATGGTAATGTGACCTGCCGAAGCCTTTGAAATTTACAGCTCCCGTTTAATTGTAAGCAGCTTTTGAATAGGCCGTCTCTGCTAAGTGGCTGTTAGAGCTCAGAGCTCAGGGTTCATTTGTGTCCCTGTGTCCTAATCAAAGTCAGCATTAATGGAAATACATCACCTGTAGCTGAGAGGGTCTCTGAACGAGCAGCAATCTGTGCACATGAATCTAGAATGAGACCTCATAAACAGAGCACTTTTTTTAGATGATGTGCTTGTTAACAGCTAGACTTTAAGCCAGTCAAGGTGCTAGAGCAGATAACAGAGATTTATTATTATTGTTTGACTTTCAGATTCACCTTTCGCCAAGTTAAAAGATGGGGTAAACATTTGTTTCACTTCCTGGTAACAATTTGCTTAAGTTGTTTTCTTCTCATCATGGGATTCAGGGGATTAGAGGCGAATCAGAAATCAAAGTGTGACCAGAATAAGACATTTTGCAACTTGATTGGTCCTGAACAATGACCGAGACTGATTGACAACTCAAAGTAGCAATCCTTTTCCTAGTCGAGATGGCAAAATACATGAATGCTACTAAGAATCACTGACAACACTTCTTAATGTGCATGATGTCATAACGGATAGTCAACCATTTTCACTACCTATGGTGTGTCTGAAAACAAATTGTGAGGAATAACACCAATAAGAGTCTGATCAGTCTGTTTTCTGATCAGACTGATCTGATCAGAAAACAGATCAGAAAACAGACTGAGATCAGTCAGAAAAAAAGTCACAAAGTCAGAAAGAAAAAAGAACAAAGAAAAAATAAACTAAGAAATAAACAAATAAATGAATAAAGAAAAAAACAAACAAACTTTGGAAGGATGAATAGACAACAGGTTCCTCTGCTTTATCTTTCGGAGATTTCAGCCACTGTCTTTTGAGGAACAAAGCGTAGAAAACATTCTCTTTTCACCGACAAGGCCTCCCAACTCCACTTGACCCACTTGGTATGTGAAACTGGAGATTACCGATGCTTGATAAAACCATACCACATTTCCACTTCAGATCCTGAGAAGCTTGCAGAAGATTACTTTTGAAGTACGAAACATCCGAATGTTAGATAACAATTTTCATTAAAGGTGTGGTGAACAATCAGTCACCAATCACAATCGACTGATTTCCCTGGAGAAATCAGTCGATGGAGAAAGTGTGTATGTTGCGATGGAAAATACCTCAGGGGGGGGTAAAGACCATCAAAATGCATCAACCCAACGCATCTAAAATTACATTTAAAAAACAAACACTTGACAGAGTCTGGCTGTATCAAGGCAGGAAAATGGACATCTGGAGCGGCCAGACAGCAGGTAAAGCAGCGCACAACCACCAACACTCAGTCGGATTAGCATGATGGTCAGAAAGCTCAACAAATAACACAAAAAATTATTTAAGTCAATGGGCTGGTGGTAGAAGACACTGGTTCTCCTCTCGTTGAACCACCGCTATGCGCTAATGGTAATAATATTTCACAGACGTCGCACCATTCAACCTCCAACCAGCAGAGGACTCTCACATCAAATGTCTGCTTAAAGCTGCAGCATGTAACTTAAGCAAATATTTTACATATGTATTAAAACTTTCTCTATGCTCTGACATAAGACAGATATCTATCTCCTCTGCCTCTTCTCCTTGTTCTGCAGAATTACTCCACTCAGTCAGAATCAACCAATCAGAGCCAGCATTAATCAGCGAGCCTGAAATAAAAAGAGGTGATCAGATTCCGCAGCAGAAAAAAAAAACAAAAAAACCCCCACAAATTTACATGTTATCGAGAGCCATGCAACCAGCATGAAACTCTCACCTGAAGCAAAAATGCCTATTGATAAAATTTTTAACAAATGTGAATTATGTTTCAACAGAGTGGTGCAACTTTAACTTCCACATCACAAATGTCCATACATTTTTGACCAGAAATATTCCTAAATATTGGTCTTTCTTGTTAGTGAAGGAAAGTGGTGAAGCTTTTAATCCCACTAACCCAGAGTGTACAGCAACAGGTGGAGGAGGGGTCCAGCACCACTAAACATACCTGTGAACATAAAACTCTTCAGGGAATTTCTCTCGCATCTCTCTGAAAGGTCTTTAAATCAAAGAAATTATGACATGTTATTTTCCACTTTTTAAAAAGTGACTATTTAAAATCCTGTAATACCTTGATGTGAGTGAACGTCTCATGGATAAAGGTAGATATGAAGCAACAGCGCTGTTTCATACAAAAAACACAAACATATACCGAGTATGAAATAAGAAAGTTGTAAGAATATGAAACAGCGATGGTTCCAAATGAGTAGCACTTGTAAAATATAAAAATTGCTTAATTATCACAGTGGAAGTACAGAACAACGCCCTGACCCTTCAGAAAATTTACTATTCAGATATACTGAAGCTTGTATGTGTAGAGCAACGCTACCTCTGTGCATGACTCTTCGGGAGTGCATGTGTTCAAGCGCACTGCAGAGCTGGACGAAGTACTTCCACACCGTTTTCTCTGGGATGAGCCTCTTGCTCCTCTTAAAGTGCTGCAGCAGGAAAACAAAAACAAAAAGCCAAGGTTACATTAAAATGCAGCAGGGGCAACAGACAAAAGATTTTACTACAAATCGGAAAAAAGTACAAAGGATAGAGTTACTAGGTTGGCATGTAAGATTTTATGTGTTTGTAGAGTATCCTTCCCTGACTTCCTAATGCAAGACCAGTCTCGTCTGTCAGCATGTCCATTCAGTTCTGTCTCATTTTCTCTGCAGCGCACAATGGAAAGCACATGCATTCTCCGGAGCAAAGAAAAAGAAATTTGTGGTGCCTTCTTAAACTCCACCATCTGGCACACAGGACTCTTGTTGCGCTCAGCCAACAGTGGCAGAACGGTTCCTCCTGTTTTCAGAGTTTATGCACGTATTACTATTTGGAAGGCTAGGGGTTGTTCTTGATTATCAACACTGTGGTTCAGCTGAAAAACAAAAGCAAAGTGATGACACAAAGGCAAGCTGATCAACTACGACTAAATGAATTTACTGGTTCTTGGAATTCCTATTTGGGCAGCTGTGCAGCAGTGCAGGCCATAAAAATGTATCAAGTTCTATGATCGCAATTTAATGGCGTGTCCTTCAGGCTCCAGCTCCAGGAAAGAAAAGCCTGGAAGTAGACCAGATTAGACGAGAGCTGTGCACACGAGGAATGCACTTGGAGTATTTAGCCAACTTTTACCAAAACAGAAAAAAATGTCTTCAAATTCTGGACAGGATACATTTCACCAGGAAACTCGACTTGCATGAAAGATTTTGTTGTACAACGGAAACCTAAAGCAAAAAAATTTTGAATCTCCAAGCACATTAAAATGCAACAAAGACAGGATTTTGCATACGCTATAAAAATACTTTATTAAATTTCCTTTTATCATTAACAACTGTCCTTTTTATACAAAAAAATTCTCAAAGCACATAAAGGTGCATAATTTGGGATCGCTGAGCAAATTATTCCATGTTCAAGGTGCACAGTATGAAAAAGCAGCCTTCCCTGAGATCAATCAATACCCTTGGTACGTTAAAAAGAGGCAACTAGTTTAAGAAGCGTGGCTGCAAAAATCCGACCTGAAACGGAGGGAAAACTGAGGCAAGCTGGGAGTTTACCCAGGACTGCTTTATAGGCAAAAATATACCACAGGTTTTGTCTACAAGTGGTCAATGATGTCCACCTCACCAAATCATAAATAATGCAACGTTTGCATTTGTAATGAGAAGAGTTGCATGGCACACTAAATCAAGGCTCCAAATAAGGCAGCTGCATGCAAGAAGAATAGATCACAGCATAATCAATCACAGGCAGAAAAGTTGCTTCTGTTTTTTTTGTTTTGTCCTGGTAATACAGGAAGATTTATTCCTAAAGTAATTTATGAGCTATTCAGTTTGTTTCTCTGATACACATTATGCTTGCACTGCAAATAAGTAAAACTCCACGCTCCTGTTCAAATGTATGAATTGATTACAGGATTAGCAAAAAAACAGCCAAATTATTGTATATTTTACTTGTTGTTTTAAATTATATTTTATACGTATCCAATTATGGTTATAATGAATGTCAACCAAATATCATTAAAAATGAGACATTTGGTGCAAAAAGGATTTGTGGATCTAATTCCCAGATGCATAAAACTAAAAATATAGACATAAAGGTTCACATATTTTGAAGCCGCCACAAGCTTCTGGCTTCTGACAAGTAAGTACTTTGATTCCTCTCCACATAATAATCGGTAGAGCTCATTTAAAGTGGTTGGTTTTCTGGAACAGACCCAGTATAAAAGCATAACCCATGTAGTTTCAATAGGGCTGAGGGTCGGAGCCGTTCCACGAGCTGAAAACTGTTTTTCAATGTCTATTTGGAGTCAAAATCTTTATGGGACACACACATGGCCTTAAATTTCAACTAAATTATTGCTACTCTGGTAGTACTTTTCATTACTGTGCTTTATGCAATGACCAGTAACAGTCCCTCAGCATGATGTTACCACCCCTATGCTTGACAGCTGGTATAGTCTCCTTAGGTTTTCAGCCTCACCTGGACTCTAGATAAACTGAAATGATGCAACGAACCAGCCACCTTCATAGTTTGGCCCAAAATTATTCATACACCTGACAGTTTTAGGTTTAAAATAATCTTTAAATTATTTGTGAAAACAAGGTGATGCATTTCAACTATATTTTTTGGAATTACTATACATTTAGATGAAGGTCCAGTTTTAGTATTTAATCTTGCAACATTCACTGCAGCTCCAGATTCCCAATCATCCCTGAAATTGAAAGTTCACTTTACTTTACTTCGCTTTATATCTGTAAACAAACCATTTTATTTGTATGTAAACCTTGACGCAGTTTATTTTAGCTGGTTTCACAGGAATTACAGTCATAAAATTCTGAAAATTAGCTCTGAAAATTGGTATCTTTTTATCAGGGAACTTAGTATCACACTTCATTCTATTTAAAATTTTAAATTATTTTTATCCCCATTTAAGCCAGTTGTCTCTTTTGAGATGTAACACATGTAAATTAAGGTTCCTGATCACTCCCCACCCCCCCAAAAAAACTACTTCTGATTGAAATGTCTGGGCTAATTCAGGTACAAAACATCCAAATCTGCAGAGGTAAAAAAAGAAAGACAGAAAAAATATCTAAGGGATAAAATAAATACAGCAACCTTTATTGCTCTCTAAAGTTGATGTTTTAGGCATGATCTTGTTCTGCTGATGGGGGACTTGGACCCAGAAGCAACAGAGTGGCTAAATTTGGACTGTGTGGTAAAAATATGTAACATATTCCCCAAATCTCTTGTTCACCATTTGAGCCCAAACAATCCTTGCATTGACATCCCCTGTGAGTTGTTTCCTTAAATAACCCTGCAAGAGGATGTTTAAGGGATGAGATGCAACTCAATGCCTCCGTTAAGATATTACAATATTCCTATGCCCAACACAAACTAGAATATATATTTGTCACTGCAGCACTCTTCCAGTGAGGATGTCTTAAGTACTTGATTATATATTTATTCAGGTGGTGATTTGCTGGACGCTGTTTATAACAAGAACTGAGGGGCAATAAAGACTTCAAAAACTGAAGTAGCAGAAATATAAAAAGGTGAGATAACTAGAAATGGATAAAAGCGTGATAAAGGGAGGAATAGAGATAGACTGATGATAAAGAAAGAGAGGAATAGACCTTGGCCTACATCCAAACAAAGCCTCAGTAAGGAGCCATTCTTTCTTTGCCCCCCATTTCCATATCAGAGGACCGTTTGATGTCAATGGGGGAGCACATAGACACCCACCAACACCCTCTTTTCTATGCCTTTAACAGCAAACACTGCACATGCAATATTCTGTAAGTGCATGCAAATCAGGGACCATCTGATATCATTCGAATCCTGAGATGGTCCGAGAGAAACAGAAAAGTAACAATTTGGAGGTAAATACATCAAAAAGAAGAATAATAATTTAAAAAAAAAATTTACAATGTTTTTTTTTTTTTTTAATATAGCATGTTGTATGAACGTGTTTACTGCTCAGCCCAAGAAAGGAAAACTGAAATCTGGCAAAAACATCTGGCCTGCCACTGTTAGACTGGAATAAACAATCAATTAAAATGGTGAAGAAGACAAATGGTGCAGAGAAGAAGCATATATATTAAGAGTTTGTCTTGTCAGCAGACATAAGGCTGATGACACAACCCCAATGCTCTGAGTATCCGAGAACGCTTAGCTAAGATAGCAGTGACACTTAGTGGTTTGTTATCCTACCACCATGTTACCTGCCATGTAACATCTTTGTAAAATGCAACTCTGAACATTTGCTTGAATGTGTGCCTCCATGTTTGTGTCTGCATCTTCTCTGCTTACAAAGTAGACTATATGTATGTGTAAGGTGTGTGTGTGTGTGTATGTGTGTGTACCAAGCCTGCCATGTTCACTCTCTTGTACCACTAATCCTCGCCTCTCCTAATTTGCTATGTTGAACTGTGCAGATGTGGATCTGCTGAGTATGACTGCAAACAGCTTGTCGAGCTGTGCTGATACAACGCTGCAGCATCATTTATGCATAGCAGAAGACCAGGCTTTTTTACATACACACTCCTAATTTGCTTTACTGGCAGATTTTTATGATAACTGGGGTGTCGGTCTAACTCGTACTCAAAATAAAAAAAAAAAAAAATAGTATGAGCTGTGGATTAAAAAAAAGCATTACTAAAGCTGGATAATCCGAGTTTTTCTTCTGCTTAAAAAATTAAGACAATTCCTTGAATAAAAACAAGCACACTGAGATTTTATGTCAAATTTTATTTTACCTGAATCTGATTGTACAGATAAGAATTAGAAGAAGCTCCAGCCAAAATAAAAAAGGTTTTATGAAAGGTTTTTCTAGGAACTGATACAAAAACAAACAATGCTACTATGTACAGCCTTAACAGCAATTATTTCAGTTTCAATTCATCCAAGTACCCCCTACACTCAGAGGCTTGAATTTTATTACCACTAACAGCTCAAGATTTCTAACAATGTCTCTTTCACAGGCTTGGCAGATGTAAACACGTCTAGTGAGATGAAAGAAGCTTGCAGGAGGCCTTATATATTAGTTTGTTCCAGTATGAAGGGATGATTAAGACTCAGTGTCCAGGATGTCAAACCCCTATAAAATAACCACAAACCACAAGCCTTCTGCAGTCAGGCCTTCATTTATCAAATGATTCACTGGCACTTTCTGCTTGTGTGTGCACGTGGCTACAGAAGAGCATCATGTAGAGACGAACAGGGTATAATTTAAATCTGGCCTCAACTCTCAAAATCTAGATTTAAAAAGAAATAAATCTATATATACATAACAGAGTATGAAAGCAGTCAATAGCAGCATTGTAAGTTATACTCATTGTGGCAATTATCTTACTTTCTCTCTAAGTTTTGATGTCGCGGCAAGATTAATAACAGTGACAAATAACCGGTGTCTTCCTGAAGTATTTAAACTCCTTAAACCTTTTCACATTTTCCCACTATTACAACCACAGCTTTAATTATTTTGTTGGGCTATTATGTGATAGACCAACACAAAGTAGAGCAAAGTAGTGAAAATGTAGAAAAATACTGCATGGTTTTAGTTTTATAAAAAAAAGATAAAGATCTATGAAGTGTGGTATGCATTTGTATTCAGCACCATTGATTCAATACTTTGTAGAAGAACCTTTCATTAAAATTACATCTCCAGGTCTTTATACATGTATTTCTACCAGCTTTGCATATTCAAAGGCTGAATTTCTTCAGTGCAATGTTGCTCAAGTTCAGTAAGATCGGATGGAGAAACTCTGAACATCAATCTTCCAAGTTTTAACACAAACTCTCAGTTTGGCAGAGTTAGTTTGGGATCTCCACTTGTCATTTACACAAGCAAAAGTTATTTAAGAGAGTTAGCTCATCTCATTAAGAAAGATAACTGGGTTCTATTGCAAAACATGATTAGAATCCAGTTTTACAAATTGGCATGAATAATAAAATGTCAATGATTCAACAACTCTTTTACAAGTAAAACATAAAACACATTTTGTTTGGTACACATGTGCATTGTCCATGGATTGTTAGGGTTCTAGTCATCAGTTTTTTTCCTTATTCAACCATTGGTTATATTCTCAACACACAGTTTGATTGAGCTTACTACTTTGGCCATTTCTGAAGGTTATTGGTAACACTTGATTTTATTTAGTGGTGTCATGGAAGGGGTACTGAATAAAAGGCACACCACAATTTCCAAAGTTTTATTTGTAAAATCAACAAATTAACCTTTGTGGGTGAAAAAAAGAGAAACTGTACGATTAATAAAACCTTTCCAAAAGTACAGAATAAAATAGTGGATGGAAGTTATTTTTGCTATGTTGGAGCTGCTTACCTTGATCATACGCGACAGATCCCCAGCATCAGCTAACTCCAAAACTATGTTCAGCTCATTGTCCTCAATAAAAGATGCGTGATACTTTATCACATTGGGATGATTCAATTGCTGTTGGAGGGGAAAAGAAAAAAAAGTCAACATCTCAGAGTAGACAGGAGAAATGATGGTGACATTTGTCATGTGGGCATCCTTGGTCACTTTCACCAGCTTCTTTCAGTTGGTACAAAATCTTCAAAACAGGGTTATGCACAGCAAAGGTGTGTGTTTTGTGCAACTCACTGTACTCTCACCACCAGTTAAAATAAAAATGGCTGAAACCATGCAAACAAAATACATTTGGTACATGGGGACCTAATGAGAAGGTTTTGTCCTCAAGTGTGACAAAGCTGGATGACATGTCACAACAAACCCGTCTATGATGACAACAACCAATGTGTGTGAGACACATAGACACAAAAACACACACAAGCGTGACAGGCTGACATGGCTGGCAGTCTTTAAAAAAAGAGAAAGAAAAAGCTAGCGTCGCTGGCTCATCTCTAGCGGAGAATCTTTCCCGCTGGTTGGTCAATAAGGCAGGAACAGCATTCCCTGTAGTAAACAAAAACTTTCTTTCTATCCTGAGCAAGAGACACGTGAGGGGAAAAGAGGAATGTTGACGGAAAAGACACGAATGACACAGTGACAAGGAGGAGAAGGAATCCAGACAGGGCAAGGTTGAAGAGCTAGGGAGGAAGAACAAAGGCGTGGATGGAAAACAGAATGGGAGAGGGATAAGGTAAGCTGAGTTGGAGATAGGGGGGAAGGGAAAAGCAGAGAGATGCTGATATGTGGATAGTTGGAGCCGTGATGTGAGCAGACGGAGGGGTGTGACAAGCGTCCTCCACTCGGCTCTGCTAAGCCTCCTCTGCTGTGATTAAAGAAATGTTCATGCTCTGGATGATGCCGAGAAGAGGGGAAAAGGAGAGCACAGTGGAGTACACTACGCTACACTACACTCTCAGACTCCATCTCTGCATCCTTCTGCAATCCTCTTCCTCGTTCGCTCTCTGTCTCTTCCTCACGTCTCCATCTTCCCTTTCTCCCTCCCTTGTCCTTTCTTGCCAGATGTATTTTTGGCTCAGAGTGGCAGTTCTGCACGGCTCCACAATGTAGCACAGCCAGAGAGTGATGACAAGCCCCCCCACGCACCCCACTCCTCATCTTCATCCTCCTCCCTTTCCTCACCCAACCCACTGCTCCTCCACAACTTAGACCTCAGGCGAAAGATACAGAGAAATGAAAAGATATGTTAACATGCAGATGTTTATGTAAATGATGGATGGGACACAACTGCAATACAACAATCATTCATAGGGAAATATCACATAGAGCCCTGAATGATTATGTAATTACACATGCTGGCTGAGACCCAACAGCGTGTGTAATTACTTAATCATGCAAGACTGTGTGATACGTTTGTTGAGCTGGTGATGTGTTTCAAAGAAGAAGATGATGCAGACTATTGCAAACTGATGGTACAAAAGTAGACGTGCCAGTAAATTCAACTATACTGGAATTGTACATTGTTGCATGCGGTAAAAGGAAAGCAGTTGGTAGAAATATGAACTACGCTGGTCTCAGTTACATTCAGAGATAAAAAAAAAAGGTTTTGATAAAAGCAGTTGAGACAATAATGTAAAGGTCAGTTCGGATTAATTTATGTTTCTTTATGATCAATATTTTTTACAGGATTTGTGGCCCTAACGTATGATATGTGCCATATAAAAAATGACAAAGTAGAATTATACGTTGGAAATTTTAAAGTCAGTAGGATGAAGAATTATATAAAAAGCAAATGGAAAAGGTTTTTAAAGTGCTGTGTTTGAGTAAGGTTGAAAGTAGCAGGATTATGTCAGTTTTCTGTCTTTCCAGTAAACCGCTGCTGTAATCTAATCAGATGCAAACCCCAGACATGCGCATTCACAAACACATGCTGACAGTGTAATATTATTAAATCTTCCACTGCTGATTAGTGGAGATCATTAGTCAGGAGACAATTCAGGCATCACAACAATCACAACTGAGAGATTATTGTGCAGCTGTGGGATTTCAAACATGGTAAGAAAAATTAGCAGTGTTGAATAGGGGGAGCCCAGTTTTTTTTTTTTGTTTTTTTTGTTTTTTTGCAAGCAACATCCATCTCAAAGAGAATTTAGACAAAAGGAGAAAAGTGAGAAGTGAGATTCTCAAGTTGAAATCCCCATGCCAAGGCAAGAAAACACAGATGAATGAGCAGACATAAACACAGACAGACAAACAAACAAATAGGCATACTGTTGGATGGCCATGACTGAGTATGTCTGTGTAAGTGTGTGTATGCGATCACAGGCGACTGTGTGTGTCAATTCAGTCGGCCCATGCCAGTGCGCTTCTCATTATTCTGATTTAGCTGTGTCTGCTGCTGGCCTGTCTACTGGAGGATAAGGCAGAAGGACTGTCTCTTTCACATTCACTCGTTTATTATCAGGCTGGCTAGGCAGCACGCGGGGCCAGGCATAACTTCCACATTCACTAGCAATCAGCTTGCAGGATGAAAAAGGCGAATGAAAAGCTCTGAATAAAGGAAATGAGGCAAGGGGAAAAGACAGCGGAGAGAGATGGATACAAAAACAGAGAAACTGGCCGAAACAGCAGAGACACAGGAGGCAGGAACAAGCAGAGAAGAAAACTGTAGAAGAGCAGAGAGGAAAAGAAATCGGGAGGGATAAACAGAAATGTAGCAGATGTGTCATATGAAGAAATGGCATCTGGAAGGGTGACATTTAACCCTGACCCCTATTGTGAGGTCAGAAATATGGATCTGCTGTCCAGTTGAATCATTTAAATTATCTAAGGCTCAGACTAACGCTCTGAAAAGGGTTCTGTCTGCTGCATCTTATTTTACTGGTCCACATCACCTCTTTTAGCTTTAATGTAATGTTTCAATGACACAAATATGTTGCACACCTTGAATTAAAATACTTATAAAATTGTCCCTTTTCAATTTCTGAAGAAACAGAAATTGACCGATAAATGTTCAAACCAAGATTCAGTATGGCAATACAAAGATAAAGCAATTGTATAAAATGGAAGAAGGAAAAATCCATAATTTTATTTTTCCCATACTGATACAGACAAGAAAAGGTAAAAAAAAAAAAAAAGAGCTATTTTGTAGCTTTTAAGACTTTTTGTGACTTCACTGGAGCGAAGCTCTAGCAGGTCAGACAAAAGCAATAAATACCATCAGTCCTTCACTGTTCTCTAACTGTTAATGTTCTTTCAAAGGTTTAAAAACTCTCTTTTCTCCAGGGGAAAATCAAAACTTGTTAGCTCATATCCACATCTTAAAAAGATCAGAATCTATAAGTTCAGAATGTTCTAGTAGATTAAATGTTTTCTGCAAGCTGGAAGTCATAGGAAAAACACAGTCTGGTCAACCAAACCAACTGAATTCACTCTAATAAATATAACTTTTAGAATGAATCGCTAGTATTCAAATTATAATGTGAATGCTAACGTGTCACAGTTAAGGGGAAAACAGTACTTCTGACAGACATGTAGGATCTTTTAGACAGGCAGAGATATTAAAACTGTCATTAGATTATTCATTAGTACTTAAGAGCAGCCCAGTTGACGCGTGTTAAAAGTAGTTCAACAAATAAAACCACTTCACTGGAAAATAAGAAAAGGCAAAGCAAGGAGGAAGAAAGGGGGAGACACATGAGAGACGCTGTTAAATTTCCATGTTGCTGCGCTGTTGTTTGGCTTTAAACATTTCAAAAAGATTTGAGAAAAAAAGACAATTGTTCTGGCATTCAAAAAAGAGCCAATAGGAGCCTGGAGGGATGTAATACTTCTGTTTCCACACACACACGCACACACACACTAACAAACACACACACACGCAGAAAGTAATAAACTGTACAGTCACACATGCATACTCATTTATATTCCCATTTGTGTGCACAACAGCCCCTGTATTTGTAACCATCCAAGGGAGAACACACATGTACACGCACACACACAAATCCACGGCATCTGGAGCAGATCAATTGTTTTCCTGTGGTGGTGGGTCTCAGCTGAGGCACCTTAAGAGAACAGAGCACAACGCATGGTGCCGTCTCCCTTTTCTCTGGTTCTTTACCTTAAGGAGATCTATCTCTTTGATGCAATCTTGCCGAGCTTTGGCATCCATCAAGTCGAATATCTATCAAGAGATCAAAAGGGGAGATAGGACAGAGAGTGTTTTGACGTATTCAAAAATGTAAGATTGAGAGATGCATATATATATATATATGAACAGAACATGGTTGCTGGTATCTGGAGCAACTGCAGGTGTTTCACATCTGAGTAACATGCACATATCCCTGTGTAAGGGGTTTGTCTGCATGTATGCTCCATCAGAGCAACATGGCATCTTAGCGCTTGTATGAGTGTACAAGAAAACTACAAGGCCATTCACGAATCTGACTACAGATTCACGTTCTACTGAATGTCTTACAAATAACTTAAGCCAGTCTACATAGAAATTGCAGTTGGAAGGACCATAAAGGTTCATTAAAATGTATATTTTAGTTCAGCGTCGGGTCAATTTTGCAAGTTTCAGTCATAAGCAATATAAATTATCTTAGTAATAGAGAAAAACATCGAATATGTTTTTGTCCCTCTTTGAATGACGCAAAGCTCTTCAGACTTTTTTTTTTTTTTTTTAAGAAAAAACAACTTCTCTAAACTGTCACTGCAGTTAAAACCTCCTCAGAGCTGTCAGCACAAGACTATGCATTCACTGAATCTTGGCAAGTTAGAGTTTCACATATTTCACTACTATTGCCAATATGAAGCCCTTCCTGTGTGGAGAAACAATTGCAGCAGGTGGATTTGTTATTTTCTACATCTCCAGAGTGTCTCATAAGGTGTTGACAGAGCAAATGAATAGTGACCTTTAAACAAAGTGAACTTTGGCTAAATATATTCTCTCTCCACCTGATGCTGAAAATCATATTTATTGCAGCTTACCTGGATTTTCTTTAAGGCCACCGACGTGTTGTCTAACAGATACCTCGCTCGGTACACCTCGCTGAACTGACCGCGTCCAATCTTCTTCTCAATCTGGAAGTTGGCCAATGAGTTATAGCCCATATCTGGCTGCAGCGGTTTCTGTAACACAGGGAAGAGCTCTTAGTTTTTAAGTGCAAATACAGATTCACATATTACCATTACAAGAACTTTCCATCCAAGGTGTACTGCAAATCATCGTAGATATTGTGCAAAGAACCACGTGTTGGTCTTAAAGTGCAGCTATGCTCGCATTTCTGGAAGAAGAGAAGATGAGGGCTGCAAGTTGAGGGTGAAACTGTGGTGAAACCTGGTTTCTCTGGATGGTTTGATGGAGACATTTACACATCCAAACCTTTAACTGCAGCTGGCTTAATATTTAATCTTGTAATGCACAAATCAAGTGCAAGCAGCTTCACACTCTAACTCTAACTTTGAACAGGCAGCAGAATCAGCAGACGTGGTTTTATTCCCACATTCATATGATCTGAGTTCTAGGGTGAATTATGTGAAGGTTTATTTCCAGGCCTTCAGTACAACCACATGGTCGCCTATTCAGTTTATATATCAGCAGATGCCATAGCTTATTTATCATGCATGAAAAAATAGAACAGGTTTTACTTGTTCTATTTTTACAAGCTAAATTAAATGACTCAAGTCCAATATTTCTTTTCTGTATTTCAGGACTTTCCAGTCCTTCACTGGACCAGACACTGGAGTCACACGTCAGGTTTCACAAATGTGGGTTTGTTCTCAACAATCCTGACAGCCATTGTTTTAATGACACATGAAAAATAATCATTTATTTATTAACGATTCAGATGCAGGATGAGCTTATATGAAAATTATATCGACGACAGTCTCACACCAAACTCTAACAATTTGAGCTGTTGTTTAGAAAGAGACTCACCTATCCCAATTAAAAAAACACTCGGACATAAGCTAGAATAAGCCCTGAAATGAAATGTGTGAAAACCGCACTGAGTACACAGTGTGACCTTTCCAGCCTTTTGGTTAACTCATAAAAAGGCGTCAGCGGGAGCAAACAAAAGGTGACACATATCAGAATGCCACATGTCACCACTTTGTCTGCCAGCGCGGCCGTGGGAGCAGCTCAGGGGCAACAGACTGGTGAGACGGGGAACCAGGTCAAAATTTTACCGAAACAAACAAGACGAGAGTAATTACGATCATTTTCTGGCGCTTAGGATTATGACACATCTGCCATGAATTCAGATTAGGGATGCAACAATATAAACACAAACAGACCAGAAACATCAGACAAAATGGTAACAAGATGAACAGAAAAAGAAAAAAACAGTCACTTAAAAGTTACTTAAACTTTAAATAGCTGGTAGTCTGTTGGAGGCTGAAAACTATTCCTGTCCTTCCCTTCTGCATTGAATGAAGACAAACATCTTCCAAAAGAGTTCCTCGAATAGGAATGAACTCCAAATTGCAACAATCAGTGGTTTTCGAAGGTGGAAAAATTTCCTGGTTCACTTTGTGCTTGCATCTGAGATAATTAAAAAATGTTTACGTTTATAATAGCACGGTTATCTCTGGCATTTTAGTTCTCCAGCTCAGACTGGACATACATGAAATAAAGCACTTTGACATCAATCTAATAAACAACTTAAAATGAATGCATCAACTCTTAATAAAATTTGTCATAAAAATACTGGATGTGAGAGAAACTGCCTCTCCAAACAGGATAGCTTGTAATGTGCTGGCAGACAGTCTGGGGAGGGGCGGGGTGAGGGTGATCATTTCAGCATTTTACTGTTTTTTCTTAAGTTGACAGCCAAATCAGGAGGCGTGAACCAATCAGATGCCGTGTCCAATTAACACCGCCGAGGTGTGTGCCTTTTCCGGCGTGACACCACCATCAAGGCACGCTGCGCAAGAGTCACTGACAGCCGGCATCAGTCGGCGCTTCACAAGCCTCTGCTGAACTCAACATTACGTCTACAAAACATTTTATCACTTTTACTCAACAAAAAAACTCTGAAAGTTTAGTATTAAATTCCAATGTACAAGAGATGGAAAACAAATCCATATAGATTTGTATTCACAAAAAGCAGTGCTATTTGACAGGAAGTTTCTGTAGTGTAAAAACAGGACAGAAGTCAAGATTTTTATGTTCAAAGAAAGGACGGAGAAGGCAAGAACAGGAAAGAGAGGACAAGAGGGCATTGCTTTCATTCGCTGCGTGGTAGCTTGACAAATGTTAGCATGAGCCTCTAAAGCGCAGTGACAACCGCCTGCTGAGAGCACAGTCTCGCTAATGTGTCTTGGCATGCCAGCTTCGTAATCACACATTTACATATGCAATGACCTACATTTGCATGTCAGATCGCACACTGTCCAGCCTGATTAACAGTGGGCACCTCCCCGCGTGGAGTCGCCCTGGGTGGCAGCAGAGGCCATGCGAGGGCGGAAGAGAGGGCTGGAGGGAGGGCGGCTTTTCTGGCAGCCAAGGGGCCGAGCTGCCAGGCAGGATTATGTCAGCCAGCAGCCCCGACATTAGACACTTCATTAGAGCTAATCTGTTTAGCAGTGGGCAGTGTATGTAAACTTCACAGGCCATTTGCGGCACCTCTTCGCCCCCTGGCCTGGCCTTCAAAGGGCAGACAGGCCGGGCCTGAGTGACGGGCCGTCTCATCTGTCGCACAAGAGCGTCGCACAATCAGAAGCTTCTAGCTGAAAGACAAGGCCACAGCGCACACACTCTCACACACGCACTCACATGTTTACAGACATACAAAAAGGGAAACAGAGTAACGACCCTGACTGAGGCAGGGGTCAGAGTCTGGATGAATCAGTTGCAGAGGGTCACACAGAGCGTTCTTTTTAAGGGTTTCAGTCTGTGTGTTTGACATGTTGGTGGAGATAAAGGATGAATGGCCGCATACAGGTCTAATAATACCCACCAAGCACAAATAAGGATTTTTGAAGGCAACAATCAAAGTTTGCAAGCTGTTTTTGTGGACATTTCTTGCAACAATTTGCTCAAAAAGTCATGCATGTGGAACTTAGTTATGTGAAAGCAAACACATGAACTGGATAGAAGAGTTTACAGCAAGAGTCGTCTTTTAGGAATCAGAAAACTGTAAGAGTAAAGAGTGCTTGTAACCATGAGCAAAACATAGCTTTGAAAAAAAGTATGTTTTTTATATGTTTGTGAAAACTATCGCTTTGTCTTGGACGTTTCACAAATAATCTGTGGAAAAACAAATACATCAAAATTGAGCTTCTCTGCCTTCTCTCAGTGTTAGCTGCAGAAATGCATTGCTCAGTCAGAAACAACCAATCAGAGCTAGAAGGAGGTTCTTGGTACTGTCAATCATGCTTATGTACGCATCACTCATTTTCTCCCCTTTGCTCTCTGCTACACTGCAGCTTCTACCTGAACAGCTCCCCAGTAACACCAAGTTTCTCAGCCATTAGCACATTGAGCAGTTCATACACAAGTGTGATTGACAGCATTAAGACCTTTCTCCTGGCTAAATAAGTTTATAAGTATTCCTACTTATAAACTTACATGCTGTAGCTTAACGCACAATAAGCTACAGCACTTTGAAACCAGAAACACCCAATCACACGTCTGAGGAGAATTAACAGAATTTCTGGAGTAAGTTTAAATTAAAATGTAAAAATTCATCAACGATAAAGAATTACTGACATTTTTTAACAATTCACTCCTTAAAGATTTATGAGCGACAACCAGATGGAAACAAACAAAACCTCAAAACTTGATGCACTCTTCTTGCCTGAGAGTTACATGACTGATCCTTATCTCATGTATTCATGTGTGAAGATAAACCAGCAGAAAACCACAGACCACAGCCATGCCAGGGATGTGCAATGAGCCTGTAGAAAGGTGCAGGAAAGCTTTTCAAATTTACTTTAAATAGTTATGCATGTTAGTGGTGGTTTCATAAAAAAGACCACAGAAACGCCTCAGGAACTGAACACTGAGTTAAACACCACTTCAAAAAAAAAAAAAAAAAAAAAAAAAGAATACTTAGTATGTCTGTTATTACGACTTAATCTTGGATAAGTGGTTGAAAACAGGGTCAATTTGAATTTCAGGTTTTCTTTCAAGCAGGTGCAACCAAATGCATGCATCACTGCAGGAAAACCCAAAAAAAGAGGAAAGGAAGAAGAGTATTCAACAGAGGAGTTATTCATCTTCCTCCTCTGTTCACCAATCAGGACTGATAGATTTGCAAAGTGGTCCTCATGTTTATGGTGATGCTCTACATATTTTTAGTGGAGGGGAAAGCAACATGGCCTCTTACAAATCAGTCAGTTTGGAGATGTTAGTTATTTTAGTTCTTTAAACATTCTGTTACATAAAGTATCAAACTTGTATTCAGTATTTGTCTTTGCATTAATTAGTATGAGGTCGGAAATCTTAGACATTTTGCAAAAGCAGAAACCAGAACTGCAGTGAGTCGTCGTAAAATTTATAAACAAGGAATTTCAATGATTTAAAAATCATGACTCATCGCTTTATTTTCCTAAAATGTTCAACTTAAGCTAGGACAGTTTTCCTCCGCAGTCCAGTAGGTGTGTGTATCTGTATCTTTAATTGAGTCTGGAGTTAGGTGACCTTCATTGGCTCGCTCTGTCTGTGCTCGCATTACAAAACAAACATGGCGGACAGAATGTTTGCTCCCTAATGATAGGGGTTATAAAAGTTTTGGAAATAGGGACGTACTTCAAGTTAAGAGAAGGTCTGGGTGGTCGGTATGTTTTATAGCAGATGGTTTTTTTCAGCTGTTGCTTAAAAAACAAGCTTTGTTTTCTGTTTTCACTTTTTGATTAAGTGACTGTAGGCTCACCCAAAAATCAAAATTAATTTTACAAGATTTTTACAAGATTATTTAATTGTACAGAAAAGTATTTAAATAAAAAAAATTATTCACTACAAAAGCAGTAAAATCTTTGACATTTAATGGAAAAGTTAGTCTTTAATATAACATTTTCACTGAAATGTATAACACAAAGATTATTGTTCCTTTGTAGGTCGAGTGATATTACTGTATTATGTTTTTATGGTGTAAAGAACTTGAAGCACTTTTGAAATATGCTATAGAAATAAATTTGACTTTAGAAGTCATTGAACTTACATCTATTTTCATTTCTAGTTCATTTGCATCACATCTTATATTTCGAACATTTTCATTAGTAAACACATGGACTTTAACTTTATTAAACTTAGACTAAAGATTGAAGGAAACATGTTTAGTCTCCAGTAGAAAAAATGCTTTTTTAAGCTGGTGCTTAGGGCAGAGTAAGACCCCAGATGTGTAGCACTGCAATTTCTCTAAAACTTTTTGTTAAATCTCTGGTTTGTACCTTGAGATGTACTCAGTCTACTCACATTGCTCTGTTTTGAGAAGGGGACAAACAGTCATGGATGATCAGGTTAGGCATTGTGGGTAACGTCTGTGAGGGACAGAGTACACAAAACCGCCATGGGTAAGTCGGAGGCAGAGGAACTGATGTAGACGAGGGACAACACAGCGAGAGAGAGAGACGGAGAGGGAGCAGACAGACAGCTCATTGTTGAAGTGTGATACGAGCTGCCCAATAATGACACCATTGCCAAACACAACTGACAAGACACATGGAGAGTGGAAGAGGGGATGCTCAAGAGTGAAATATGGTGGAGGTGGTGGGGGACAAGCACCAGAGGGGAGAGGGTGTGATGTGACAACCCAGCAGAGCCAGTAGCTGCCACATGAAGTCCAGCAGCAGCAGAGAGGCGCCGCCTTACATGGGCAGACAGAGAAGCAGTCGGATCTACGGCCAGAGACAAAGTTTGTTTGTGGGCTTTTTTACTCACAATATAAATGTAACACTATAGATAAAAGGAAAAAACTCAAACTCAAAAGACAAGTCAAGATTTTTACAATGTTTGGGAAAACTACAAATAACTTGCTTTTTTTATGGGTTGCAATTTATTTTTTAAAGAATCTGTTTTTGTGTGGAAAATGTTATTCTAGGTTTACAAGGTATGAAGTCAGGTTCTCATGCTGATCCAAGTTTGTCCTAACACCTAACAGTGCTATTTTGCATTTCTGACATAGGATAGAAATGGTTTCATAAATCTCAAACTTTGCTTTAAAAAATCTCTCTGCTTGGTTGACCACTCAGGTGGTATTTATCACTTTGAACTATTACTACTGCAGAGGGGGGCGCAAAAAATGATCGTTACTTTTTAGTTTGGCGCCGACAGAAAGCCACAATACAGATATAAACTTTCACCTCATCGACAGCTGGCTTATGACATCACTTGTGCAGGTTGTTGTTGAGAAACAGCAGGTCTAAACCTGAGGAGATGGAGATGATCTTGTAGATCATGAAGTCCTGTGATGCGTTTTGAATCACACACTCATTCATCATGTGTATACTGACCACTTGGTGTGTAATTCACAGTATTCAGCTGCATTATGACTGAGTACATTATTTTCAATGACCTCACATTTATTTTATTTTACATTATTGGACCAACTGACCATGTGGGAATGAAGACTTGGTCCTTTTAATGATGCCCCTAAGAGTTTGAATAATTACTTCTGTTTGATGAAAAGGACATTATATAATATATCTTGTGCCACAATGTATTTTCTAAAGATTATGTCAAAAAATAACATATCAATTCTAAATATACCCATGAGAAGACATTTCTAGGGTGGTTATAAGAATTACTATAATACATTAAAGCTTGAATATCTTCATGTATTTAAAAAAAAACTGTTCCCAACCCTGGTTTACATTAAAATCAAGTAAAGGAGTTAAAATGCTTTCTTGGAAACATAAATAAATGTTTTTTCTTTGCTTTGGACAATGAACTCCTTTGTCAAATGGTCTTACCATATTGCTGTATTGCAAAAAATAAATAAAATCCTCCCACGTCCTATCTATACAGCACTAGTTCAGTTTACTTGGTAGCCAAGTATTTTGTTTACTTAATTAATGTCTTAGCAGCTCATCCTGTTTAACTGGATGAGAACCAAAAAGATCAAGATTTTCATATCAGCTTTGGGCAGAAACACTGAAACAAAGAGAAATGTGCTACAGGTTATATTATAGATGAAGCAAATTTAAATTTAATAGAAAATATATGGCATTACTAGATGTGTTTCAGCTCACTATATGTTTAAACCTGCATCTGATTTTTACTCATCTCAAAAGATGTGCGTCAACATACATACTTGTGGATGATGCATTTACAAACTACAAAACAAATATTTCAAAATTCAGATTGCATTCATCTTCACAGAACAGACCATCTAGCAAACTAGTTTGGATTGAATGCAAGTGACAAAGAGGGGGAGCAAAGAGGAAGAGATGTGTACAGCAACTGGCAGCAAAGGAGGGGATGGCTCCCACCCTCACCAGTCACCAGCCCCCTTGAGCGGGCACCATGCAATATTCATCCTCAGCCAGTCAGCCAGTGAGCCAGGCAGCGAAACCAGCAGGAATCACCCCAAAGGTGCTTCTCATTCTTCTCCCCTCCAATCGGCTTCCACAACCACAGCGCCTTGTCTCGGCGCTTCCTTCCTTCCAGTCGGATCTGTGTCTGTCAAACTGTGCAGTGACGGCTGAAATCTGATCTGAGGGGGCCTTCTCTGAAACCCTCCCATTCACTCAAGAGCAAATGCACCATTAAAAATGCACATCTTCGCAGCTCATCCCGTTTAACTAATGCATATGCATCATACCTCCGGGACCAAGAGAAATTATATTGCAAGCGATATGGAGTATCCTTCATCACATATACAATTCAGATTTTTTCAGGAGGAGGCTGGCGGGATTTTTTTTTTCTCTCCCTTTTTTTCCCTGGCTGCCAAGAAAACTGAACCTTAGGAAAGTGAGAAACAGATACAGGACTTGTTGAAAGGCACCCATCTGGATGCTGCTTAGACAATCATCTACATAATCTAACTTTTTCCTCTCTCCCCCCCCCCTCGCCAGCTCCCATTAAATGTGAAATCGGTTCAAACATGCTGTGTGAGTGAGAAAAAAAACATGATGCAACAGAGAAAGTTCACTGTGCATCTCCAACCCAGAGCATAAAAACAAGTCAGTCTAGAATTAACACTGATGTAAACTGCTAGAAATAGATTGAAAACCAGGGAGAGAAATCATTAAGCCAGAACAATAAACCATAATCAACTGCTGGGAGATCAGTAAGAAAAAAGAAATCCCCTGTTTTTGTGTTTGCGTAGGGGGAATGTTGCCAAAGTCAAATTAATTATTAGAGCTTTTATCTGCAGTTCTTCTGTGTGCAGCCCAATTATCCTTAATTTTGCAATTAGAAATCTTAAAATAAATGAATCCCTTTGGCAATTCGAGTGTTAATGTTGCCATGCCCTTGCATACGCAGGAAAAACAACAACCAGTACTGGCCTATTTTTAGTGAGCGGCTGTGCTTTCCCAAAAAGAGCCTACGTTTACTCTGGGGCATATGGATGAACCTCTTTGTTTAAAGTCTATTCAATACTTATGGAGGCAAAAACATCCTCCTGTAAAGAAATCAATGTGCCTGATGTTCGAGGGCGGTATTAAAACCCAACAATGACCACATCTGCACAGAGCGAGCTTGAGTTGTATCGAACAGAAAGAGGCACGCAGGAAGGCCAGACTCTGCCAACCTCCTGAGCTCTGATCAATACCAACAACTCAACATTCATCCGCCGCCGTCTGTCTCACAAGCAGGCTACAGTGGTGCGTGGCAAGATGAGACTGAAGGGTGCATCTTCACTGATCCACAGGGAAAAAAAATGGCTTATTTAGCATTTAAAAACTCTTCAAAAGGAAGGCGAAGCATGTCAATGTAAAATAAGAAATGATAAACTGTGCAAAATAATTCAGATTCATTAGAAGTGGAGAAAGCTAAAAATTAGAGACGCACCAATCAATTTTTTTCCCTCAACAAAACCAATATCTGCATCACTTATAGGTTTGACCTCTAAAGGACAAACATATGCTTTCTTCTTTGACTGAGGGAGCAGCTATGGAACTAATTTATTTTTTTTTACGTTTATTAACAATGATACAGCCTGAAAATGTCAGGAGTGTTTAGTTTTGCGACTGACGATCACATGACAAACATCTATTCAGTCGTTTTCTATTAACTCGTGATCCTGTTGAACCCCAGAACTTGTTTAATAATTTAAAAAAATTAATCCCAGGACTCATAGAAAGAGCACAGTGGCTCTAAGTTAGGCCTAGATATCTGAGCCACAAACAAGCATATCTAACCACAAAAAATGTAGAAAATGTGTTTCTTTGCATGAAATGTGACAAACGTTTAACAATATGCATATAATCGGGCATGGCAACAACACAGACCAACAAAAGAGCCAGCAGTGGATTGAAAATGATTTGAGAGCTTCATGTTTTCACCTCACCTCACTTTATAACTGTGCAGTTTGGCTTGTGTTGGTATGAGTCTGTGTGAAGTGTTACCTGAGTTAGAAATACTGGCACGCCTGCTTGCTGTCCTTGTGGGTGCTTATCCATATCCATGGTGTTAGGAGCTTGATCCTGTACACCTCTAGAAGAAAACAAACACAAAAAGTTTCTTTAAAAACGCTACAAACCTCCTACAGCAATTCCAGTCAATCTCCACTGCCGATCACAGACAGGCTAGTTAGTGATTGCTGCCGTGAGATTCGGTTTCACAGAAACTGGAGCCTACGTCTTTGCCGTTGATTTGACACTCTTTGTCCTGACTCTCCTCAAGTTGCAAGATGGACAAGCTACAAAAGCAACGTCAAGGGAGCTTCATAATGCTTCACCGCTTTCAGTTCAGCCAGTTTTGAAGATATCTACCATGGAAATGATCTGTTTCATCAGAATGTGCTTAAACTGAAGCACATTCTGTAATTGTTTGTTTTCTTTTGTTCTGAGGCAAATCGGAGACTTAAAAGCATATCTTCATGTTCAGGCATGTGACCGATGAGGTAGCTTGCTGCGTAAGAAAAGTGCTCATCTTGAAAGACACTTTAGATAACTGGCAGGTTTGTTTTTTGCTTAAAAAAAAAAACAGCACGGAAATTTTTATTTAGTTAACATCATAGTATAGTCATTGCAATAAATGCAATGATTATATAGACTAAAATTAACACTGATAAAAGACAGAATCCAGCACTTGCATATCACCAAGCGGGTCACCTGCAAATAAACACTTTTGAGTTGTGTTTTTATTGACTTCCCATAGAAGTAATTAGCACACACAAAGAGATAGAAACAGAAACATCACAATTCAAGGGAATTTGTATAAACTGATGTAGTTCTAAATTATACACAATACATTTTCTCTTAGTTTTAGTAATTCAGTGTAAATACAAAGAATAAATGTCTGTCCATAATCATATCAACTAACATCAGTTTAAGATAGTTGCTGATTTAATTAATGTAGATTTTAAAAAAACAAAAAAAAAACACACACAGACACACACCGTGTTATTTTACAACTCAACTGACCTTAAACCCTTTTGTTGTAATTTTTCTAAGCTTTGTGTTTTGATAGCGTGAGACTAGCATCATTACTCTTCTCTCAAACCTCTCTCTGTTTCTGGCAGAGTGACAAAATAAGCATTGCGAGTTCTGTATCTCACGTTAATGAGATCAATTATGACTGCCGTGTTCCGAGGACTCCCATTTACTGTCAGCAAATGGAAAAAAACATGTAAATAAGAAACTGATTTACAAGTGAATCTGACCCAGAACAGAGCAAATTCTGCTAAAATGCAGCTATGGTAGAAATTCCTGAAATTCAGAGTTTTTATCTTGCCAAAAACTAATAAAATCAATGAGACATACACAAACCTCATAAACATTTATTGGCGTCAAGAGCAGAAAGTGAGTTCAGTGGTATTTCAGTAACGTGGTGACCAATGATAAAGGTTTTATCATCAACTCCTCCTCAAAGGATCAGCTGTGGCCTTAAAACTTTGTTAAAAATAGTTTGGTGTGCAGAAGAAATACAAACTCTGTCTGTTATAATATGTGATGAGTATGATCCGTTTCCTTTTTATTTATCAAGTCAAGATTTTTAACAGGATTAACAAAAACTTTAAGAAAGATCGACAACTATAAGCTCACATCCATTCTTTAATAAAAAAAAATGGATGAGGTTTCCATTACACTGGGAATTGCACTTTTATTTTTACCTAAACAAATTCAGGTTGAGGAAGTGAGCAAAGGGAGGGAAAATGCATTTCTTTCCATGCCGCCAATGACTGTACACCAACTATTTTCTCACTTTACATAAGCTAATGTAAGACTCAAGCTATGTTTCCTCACATTAGTCCCAAATTCAAAGTAGGAAGCAAACGGCAGAGAACAACATTAAGAAAATAGAATGAGGCAAAAACTCATAAAACATATTTTTCCCGTTCTAAATATATTTAATTCATCCACCTTTTTGATGAACATTGCGTTTCATTTCGAAAACTTCACATGTTTTTGCTTAAACGTTTTCTCAACTCGTGTCTATTTTTTTTAAATTTCATACTTCCTCATATTCCAACAAACAAAATGTTTCAAGCACTCCATAAAAGATAATCACTGTTTTAAAATGTTTCTCTCATGACTGCAGTTGTAGACAAGTTGTAACAAGCGCCGCATCAAGGTATGTTATGGTGTTTTTATGGTTACAAAACCACAAGAGCAAATTGATTGAAATTCATAGGCTAAGGCAGCCCAGTAATCTGACTGGGATAGTGCAACAACTGGTGGGGGAGGGGGAGAGCACAAACTTGCCTGTTTTAAAATATTTCAGGAATAACCTGAAATATAACTGAAATAACCCATGATCTTACAAAAGCAATTACACATTTTAAACTGAAACCAACTAAAACATACTGCAGGCTCTCGCCTAACACAGACTAAATAAGCAGCAAAAACCAGCTTCTTGGTTAATAAGGAACCAACTAATGTTTTTAAATATATTTTCACAAGGAAGGAAGTGACACTAAAAGAAGTAGTGAACATTTTTAAGAGCATTTATCTTGTCTAATTTTCCACAGATATCAAAATAAAGCAGAAAAACATTTTTCCCGTAAGATTTTATGTATTCTAAAACATATGCACTAAAATTGACATCTTTTTGGCATTTTTTAAATAAATGCCAAAGAAATGATCACAAATTGTAAGTAGTCTTTTTTCAAAATGTTGTTACATTTGCGTCTATAAACAAGTTTTATTTAGCTGGATTGAGGGTAAAAATGGATCTTTGGATAGTAAAGGTTGCAGACTCTTCTCATCCTTATTCAGTCCAATGTAGCAACTGCACTGGTTGCATTGGTTGAATGTAGTATTTGGTAGGAAATTAGATTTCAGGTGCAATTCATTCACATGCTGCGTGCTAGCAGAATATTTGGCCAGTTGACTTTTACTGCCCCTAATGCCAAAACCTGATGTATATTTCATCAGCTGAGAAACTAAATCTCATGGAAAATGTTGAGAATGTTGCAATGATGGAAAAAGAAAAAGGAGGAAAATGTGTGTCAATTATAATCAATATTGTCCCAATTACAAATATCATAATAATAAAATATGCAGGTCAGACATTAAATGCTGTAAAATAGATTTAGAAGTGCACTCAGAATAGGGCTGGAACGATCAATCGGATTGAGGAATCAATTATTGGAATAATTGTTGACTAATTTAGTATTTGATTAATTGTTAACTGTAGTATGCAGACTCAAAAGAACTCAGACTTCTATTCAAAATCATTAGCCCAAATGTGCAGGCACTCCTGAAGAGAAAAGAAACTTAGAGCAATAATTAACACAAAAATGAACTGTATGTATTAATACACACTTTACATTTAACATGAAAATAGGTTTCACCCGAAAGTCCTCAAAAGCTTCACTGAAGGAATACTATGCTATTGCATTTTGGGCAATGAATCTTTATTTTTTTATTTTAAAAAGGAACTGAATTATTTAATTTCAATTTTAATGTATTTAAATTAAAATAGGCTTAAGTGGTTAAATGAGAAATCTGTAGAATGTGCAATTTCTTTTATCCGATTAATCATCAGAATAATTATTGCAGCCCTGGCTGTTTCACTGTGTGGAAAGTTTCTCTCATTGCTATGAAAAGATGTTTTATATTGAGTGATGGGAAAATTAAATATGAGAACAAACCAAAAAAAAAAAAGAGTAGGACACAGCAGGGATGATGAAGGACAGAGTGCAACAGATGCACAACTGAGGAAAAAATGCTGGAAGAGGGAAAAGGGTTCGCTGGTAACCCTGATGAGTTTGTGGTCCTGAGAGAGAGCGCGCGGAGCTGTGCACCACAGAAGTTGGCGCTGGCTTTAGCTTCTTTTTAATCCCCATTTCCTGCCTCCTGCATTATTCATATAAAACAGGAGAACAGGAAAAAACACAAAACGAGGGTGACGACGATAAAAAAGGTGGATTGAGGCTAACTGGGAGAGAGTGGGGAAGTAGCAGGGTCCTGGCATCGGGACGCTCTAAAGAGAACAGTGCTAAATCAGCTCACAATCTGGGAGACAATATGAAGATAAACCAAATAGTCTGGCTTTGAGGAAGAGAAAGAGTGGAGGGCAAGTTCGGGGGTGAACAAGAGAGGAAAAATGCAATGTGACACTATCTGGCCCGGATGTAGAATGGGAAAGAATCAAAGCCACCTTTGAGGAGCCAGAAGACGACAGTGAAAGTGCTGGAAGAGTGGTGTCCATGATTACAAGAAATGGAGAAACCTTTGAGTCTGCGCTCATGAAAGCCTACCCCAGGCCTCCTCTCAAACCCCTGCCTGACGAACGCTGATGATACACAAAGAGAAAAAGAGACGGAGAGAGAGGAAGAAAGCCTCTAATGATGGAGGGGTCCGGATACTGCAGAAGCGGCACACTTTTCAATTCATTTTAATCACTATTCAAAATCATTAGCCCAAATGTGCAGGCACTCGTGTTCATTGGGCCATGAGCTGAGAGAGAGACAGAGAGGGGGAGAGGACCAATTACACCTCAGCATGCAAGCCACTTTTTGAGGTCTTTTAGTAGGATGGCCCAAGAATTGACAGAATAGAAAATGAAGACAGGATATTTTTCACTGTCTTTCAATCTATGAGGATGGGGAAAGAAAAAAAAAAGAAAACAGAGGAAACAGCATGATGAAAGAAGTTCTGAAAAAGGCACTGAAAACCAAATTCAACCACTCCTTTAAATCCTAAAATCTGCAAAACCTTTATAAGTATTAAAGAATCTTAAACAGAGGATCCACACAATATTAGTAAGTAATCCAAGTCCCACCTAGAAAATATGAGACGTGTACTGATCAGATATTTGTGGCCTGTTTTTTTTTTTATCTTCGATGCCAATTTTAGAAGATTTCTCTTGAACAGTACCCTGGTTGTGGTTCAATATTTGAGGATTTCTCTCGCAGAGCATATCTAAAATATGTGAAAACAAATGCAGCTTGTAAAGTTGAGATATTTTAGTGCAATGCAACTTAACGTGCTATTGATTAGGGTTTGCCAAGCAGCCGATCCAGCAGAAACATTCATTTTCCTTGC